CCAAAAATGGGACTTTTTTCTGGGCCCATGCAGGGTTCCCCAGAGCACTCTGAGCACCCACAGGGCAGACTGGGTGTCATTCCTGGGTGCCTCGGTTCCAGGCTCACCCGTTCCTGGCCCGGTAAGGCGGCTCCTCCTTAGACAAAGACTGGAGAATGCGCGGTGACTATTTAGTGGCCACCCCACAGCCACTGTGTGTTCTGGGCACCAGGACCCCATCTTGGAGTTCATTCTTTTCTCTGATTTCTACAAAAAACCCTTGAGAGGATGCCACACAGTGGTCCATGCAATGTATCAGGAATTTCCAAACCACTGAACAAATGAGGAAACTAAGGTTCAGAGTAATGGAGAAAGCTGCTGAGTCCGAAGGCCTAAGCCCTGGATCCCAAGTTGCTTCGTGGTGGAACTGCACGTGAGCCCACGAATCAGAAGCTCACACGCTGCACTGTTGCACATGACTGTGCCCCAGAGGACCCCCAAAGTTATGACCCATGGAGGGGAATTCTGAGGCCCGTCTAGGTCCATGGCGAAGAGTAGCTGGCCATTAGCAATGTCTGCCAGCCCAGACCTGCTCATCATGAGGTCCCCCTCTTGGTTTCTCTCACCACTTGGATTCTCTCCATGCCGAGGCCAAAACTTCTGGAATCTTCCTTTGGTCCCACCTCTCTCCCCGACATCTGAGCCCTTGGCAAATCCCAAAATCTCTGTTTTCAAAAGGGGTCTAGAACCGAATGTGGTGGCGCACATCTGTAATCCCTGCTCTCTGGAAGCCTGGGGCAGAAGATTCTAAATCTGAACCCAGCCTGGGCAATTTAGAGACTTAGCAAGAACCTGTCTCACGATGTAAAACTAAATTAAAAGAACTGGGAATACAGTTCAGTGCCAAGTCTTGGGTGCAAACTCCTGGTACTGCAACATTAATAGAAAAGAGATGAGGTAAAATAAAATAAAGACGCTCAGAGACAGGTGGAGTGCAGGAGGCTAAGGCAGGAGATTCACAAGGGCAGGGTCAACCTGGGCAACTCAGTGAGACACGTTTTCTGTAGTCCAGGGTGCACCTTTGCAAACCCAGATGAGGTCCTGCCATTCTCAGTCCCTCCAATCTCCCTGAGATTAGACACACCAGCCTGACTTCACCATCCGTCTGCACCTGCCTGCTGCACTAACCCGGGCCTGGTCCTCCCTGGACGCCCACACACATCTCTTAGCAGACCTTGGAAATCCAGGAGCCCTCTGCTGGGACCCCTCCCCCAATATCCACGCAGCCGCCTCCCTCGGGTCCCCCAGCTCAAAAGCTGAGCTCTCTGAACCCTTCCCTCCTCCTCCACCCTGTGGCAGCAGTATAGCCCTTCTGTTGGGCCTGTCCCCCTTTTCCCCTTCATCCTGTTTTAGTATTATCTAAATAAAATAATTATTCTACTTTTTTGCTGCTGTTCTGGGAATGGAACTCAGAGCCCTTGTGTTCTAGACAAGAACCCCACCCCCGAGCTACACCCCAGAGCTTCTCTATAGCTCTTAATTGGTATCCTAAGTGTCTGTTACTTTCACTTGTTTCAGTGTTTGACATTGTGTGTGTGTGTGTGTGTGTGTGTGTGTGTGTGTGTGTGTGTATTCCTCCTGGGATCTGAATCCAGGACCTCTGCACTGAGCTACAACTCCTGCCCTTTTCCTCATTTTAAGACAGGGTCTCAGTAAGTCACTATGTCACCCAGGCTGTGCTTGAGCCTCCCATCCTCCTGCCTCAGTCTTGCAGAATGCTGGGATTATAGCCATGTACCACCATCTGTACCAAGTACTGTCCTTTTGATACTGGTTTTCAGCAATTTTTTTTCTTCAGTGTTTTTCAGCACCTGGGCCATGACTGCCTGGACATGGTTTTCTTCCTTGGAGCTCGTTGAGTCTGTGAGCTTGTCATTTTCATCACAACGGGAAACACTTCCCCCGATATTTCTTGAAGTATCTTGCGCGTCCCTGCTCTGCCTGTCTGGAACTCCAGTTAGACATGTGTTAGTTTTTGGGCAGAACCGGGGATTGAACTCAGATCCTTGCGTTTGCCAGTCAAGCGCT